CCCACAAAATTTTGCTCCATAAGCAATTTGTCTTTTTTGAATGATCATGCAAACTTTGAGTTGTGCCAAACTCTGATTTCTAGGAGAAATAAAAAGTTGAATTCTTTGCACCTTCTTTGTGACAATGTTACACAAGATCCCTAGTGTAAAGTCTTTTTCAAAGGTTGAGAGTGGAAATGGGTGTTAAGGATCTCTCTAAGGTGCTCTTGAATCTTAAACTTCCCTGTCCAAGACCTGAAAGATGATGTTTGCTCTTGTCCTTTCCGATGATTTAGCCTGTAAGTGACACACAGGAGTCCTGGATCATAGAAATGAGTGCAGGTTCTAGAAAATGGCCAATATTAGTGTGATTTCTAATTGAATGTGCAAACTTTGGAATCTGCTTCGAAGGGGGTTTAATTATTGATTAGTGCAATATGCAATTCTCTTGGGTCCTTTATGTCATAGAATCAATAGCTATATCAGAAAAAAATTGGGAAGGAACAGAAGGATTCAGTTTTGGGGGGATGGTGGAAGGTGAAGGCTTGTGAAAGTGGCTTTCCCTCAATAACTTGGAATGTGTTTAAATCAATTATACACCAGGTGGAATTGAAATCAATTCAACCTGAAAGGTAACTCAGGCATCATTTTTAATGCTTCATTTGTATAGTAAATTGAAATGGAATTGGACTGCCCAGGAAGACCCAGAAGATACCATCCACCCTACAGCTGATGGTTCCATTGCTCAAGCCCATCTTGGCAACACCATCTTGGAGAAACATTTGTCCTTCTGTTTCATTCTTAGCTTGATTCAACAGTTTAGGCAAGCTAAGGATCAGGACAAGTAAGCGACAGGATGGAGCTTTGTGCAAACTCTTGCCATTTGGAGTTGAGCCCATCACTTGTGAGCTGGACTTGGCTTGAGCACCACCTGCATGGCCCCTCTGACTACCTACCAGCTCCACAAATGCACAGGCATTGACGAGAACGCTCATACTACTTCCCATAAGAAGGACAAAGAAGGAACCCAGAGGCAAAGGTGGTGATGAATGGGTAGAAGAAAAAGGGACTTTTCAAGGGTTTGAATTGAAAAGCTTGCATGGGGAGGAACACTCTGAGTTTTGAAGAGTTCAGCTTGAATGTTCAAAAACCTAATTAAATTTGAGGACAAGCAGGAGACACTTAAACTTTATTTTACATTCAGGAGGAACTTCCTGATGCAGATCTCTCTATCCTGTCTCTGTCTGTCTGTCTGTCTGTCTGTCTGTCTGTCTGTCTGTCTATCTATCTATCTATCTATCTATCTATCTATCTATCTATCTATCTATCTATCTATCTAACTTTGTTTGTTTTAAGCAAACCCTCTTATGCTCAGTGTATACCCTGAGTTTTGGCTTCTCCAGCAGAGATCGTTCTTGGCTGTAAGATTCTTGCTGTATTCTCTTGCTATTGTGTTTCTGTTTGCTGTATACTTCAATGATACATAATTGAATAAGACAGCAAGGATAACTGATAAATGGCCATTAGAGCTCCATTTATGCAGTTCATAGGAGCTCTTGTTCCTGAACTGCTGTATATATTCATGAATTAAAAGAAGAAGAAAGCCATTGTGCATTAAGCTGCAGACCTAGAAATCCAGTGATTCCCAGCCCCCTTAAAAATTTAATTAATTTTGTTCCTCTAGATGGCTGCTTATTCATAAATGTATTACAGTGGCATGCCATTAATCTTGTGGAGTTGAAGAGCTGTAAAGGATGGAGCAAGCAATCTAAGATTGAACAATGCTGCTAAGGTGGTTAGCTCTTTTGCCATCAACTTTGGCAGGTCAAAGATCATCTCTAATTGCCCTGACAATACATTTTCTTTTGGTCACTGTAACTCAAATTTGTCCAGCCAAGGAAGTTTTGTATGTCTGAAATGGGTACATCCAGTTGGACATGCATCTTCTGGCAAATATCCTGAGAAAGAAAGAAAAGGCATATACAGTCATGCTAGAGCTGCAATATCTTGGCATGAGGACAAACCCATTGAAGGCTAGATGCTGTTCTTAAATCTTCCCAGGAGTGGCAAGCACATCCAATATTGACTGAGCCAGCCATTGAAACCATTGCCTTGCGGGTTCCAAATAAAGTTCTTCATTCCTTGCCACATTTTCCCATTTCACCTACTGACCTGAGAGATCAGATCCAACATGGTGCAGTGGGTGATTAATCTACCCATCCATCCATCCATCTATCCATCCATCCATCCATCCATCCAGCTATCAGCTATCTATTATCAATCTGTCATCTATCTATATCTCTATTATCCATCCATCCATCCATCCATCCATCCATCCATCTATCATCTAATGATGTTACCTAGTTGGGTAATGAAACATGCGCAATCAAACAGTCAACCTTAGAGAGCACCAAGAACTCCACAGTATCTTTCTCTCTCTCTCTCATTAAGGTATAATGCAACACAACATAGGGTGTCAGGCAGCCAAAACCCTCCAAAAAAGCTGTCTTCAGTTTTTTCTGGAAGGCAGACAGTGTTGGGGAAAAGCATGTTATGATCCTCTTGGAGGAATTTATCCACAATGGAAATGTTTTAGGAGAGTTGTGTCATTTAGAAGAGCAACGTGTGTATTTTTTTAAAAAAATAAATACATCCATGTAGAACTCTTAGACTGTAGTACCCAGAAGTCATTATGAGTTGGAACTAAAGACCTATCAGTTGTCTCCATTGTGTATTTGAAGTGTGCCATCAGTTTCTTGAGTGTTGATAACATCAACCAGCTGCTCTGCTATTCAAATACTGGAGGAACTGAATCAGCACATTTTTTAAAATACTTCCTGTACACATTTCTATCTATTCCAACTTGATTGATGCTATTGTTTCCTCTTCAGAAAAACAGCAATTTTGAAGGAGCTTTATCTCCTGCTCAAATTTTTAAAAAAGTGGTTGGAAGTTAGAGAATCCTAGCTAACTTTGCAGCTGCGAACTGGGGCTTCTGAGGTAGTATTTTCCCTCTGTAGTGTTTCCCCTCTGCTGGTGGCTGTTTGGGTCAGCTGCGTTGTCCTTACTGTAGCCACCAGACAGGCTATACCATGAAGTGGAGGGAAGCATTGCTTCCATGTTCCTAAGATCAAGACAAGAGCATCAGCAGGATCCCACCGCTTTTATCAGAATGACTAACGGAGCATTGCAGTGGCGTTGTGCCACAAGTTCTGTTCCTTTGAGGCATGCATACAGTTTGCAGTGCATGGAGAAGAAAGGCAGGGTTTGCATCACAATCCTGAAACTCTGCTTTTGTAGTCTAATTCCCATTGTCTGCCCCCTGAATCTGGACTGGCTCTACCATTAGGCGGAAGGAACCAGTTGCTTTGTTGTTCTTAAGACCTGGACCAGCCCTACCATTAGGTAGAGGAAGAGAGATGCTTTGTTATGTCTAAGGTGCGTTGCTCTCTGGAATAACTTCCAACCCCAGCTAGTTGCCCAGTGCAAAGTACTGCAAAGGTAACTAAGACGTCATCTAATATATTACTCTGTGGACTGTGTCAATGAGTAGGGCAATTGAAGAAGGGGTAATGGCGCTACTGCATTGATGGGAGGTCGGGGTCATTATGCCTCTAAATATTAGTTGCAGGAGAAGTAGGGCAGAAGAACAGTACATCTCCATCTCCTGTTTATGATCACCTGAGACACATCTGGTTGGCCATGGGTGAGAAACAAAATGCTGGACCAAAGAGGACTATTCTTATGTACTTCTGTTCTCTTGATCCATCTGAATACATCAATGGAAAGGTGCCATATTTTCTTAAAATTGGCAAATGTTCAGGTTCTTTTTCCTGCTAGCCGTGGAAAAGTTTGCAGTTTGGAACATGGCCTGGTGGACACATTTTTGGAATTCTCAAACATGCAGATAGAAGGGAGGAAAGGATTGGCGTGTTGGATGGTGATTTCAACATTCCCTTTCTTCATTGAGAAAATCTTTTACCCTTGTGAACTGTCCAAATATAGAGGCACAAAGAGCATTTCATTCACTGAATCCACTAATGTGTCAAAATTGAATAGAAACTCATATATTTGTGGAAATTGCATTCAGGAATCCATATATTTATGAACATCACATAACTGTAGAGAGAAACACAGATTTTTCTTGCATTTTGAAATTGGCAGAACAATACAAAATGTCAGAGGAACATACTGTGATGGAATACATATGCTTCTTTATATTCCTATTGCCAGTTAATTAGAAAGCCATATTTTTTTCAAACCTGTTCTTTTTTCTTCTATTTCACTTTGGTGGTGGTACTTCTCTTGATGATAATAAGGAAGTGGTTTAAAAGCAGGTGGTAGACAAATGCTTATAATCACAGATAGCTAGTGATGGAAGTAACCCTGTTCAAGATAGATTCATCCTGGTTTTTGACTGTGACCCAATATATATGTTGAAATGTGGTTATCCTTCAGTGTTTGTGATGCAATGCATTTTCAACACAGTTCTCCTGATAAAGAATCACTGTAAAAATGTTGAAATCAGGGGGAAGGATGCACAAAGTACAAAGATTACTCATGCTTATTTATTAGAGAAAGAATTTTTTATTTATTTAACCTATTTTATTAACACCATTTCTCCACTGCCAACTTTCAGAGACACCCAGCAGTTTATAGGAATCTGTAAAACTATAAAATAGGCCATATGAAACACCCCCACCTTACTAAAATCTGGCTTCCTATAAGAAATCCTCTTCCTCATCCATTAATGGCAACTTCTGTAAAGCACAGAAAGATCTTAGCAGATAGTATAATAAATGTAATAAGTAAATAACTTCTTGATTCTTCATTTTATATGACTTTGGCATCTCAACCGGGCTATTTATTCCTGGCACCAAAACAGTGTTAAGATCCCTGCTTTTCTGGAAGCTGTTCCTCAGGTTAAAACATTCCTCAGGTTAAAACAGTCTTTCAGCTAATTAGAACTGGATGGAAGGAGGTGTTCAACAGACAGCCCATAGCAGGATCCACTCTTTCTCTACTGCTTCTCTCTACTGCTCTCTACTGCTTCTCTAAGCTCACACTGTGATATTCTGAACTGACTTTTTAAATTGGCTGGCATTTACAATTATTGCTCCACCATATGCCATCCCTGATCTGCTGGTGGTGATCTGCGTGCTGGCCAACTTCTGTCAGATGCTCAGCCAGCAACCTTGGAAGTATGGGGGAAGGAAAGCTAGTGAGTCAGTCCTCAGGCAGAGGGAGAATTTTCGCTTTGCTGTAGCCCCACGCCAGATAACGGCCAAGATGGGTAGGGTGACTCATCTATCACTCCAGGAAGTCCATAGTGACCTTGGGGATCCTAGTGAAATAGCTTCTTAAGACCATTCCTCCATCTTCACAGCCACGATATTGATGGGGATAACTAATAGATCCCAGGGTTAAACATCTGAGATCTAAGAGAACTGTTTGCCAGTTGGTATAGACAACATGGAACTAAGTTGTCTCAATATAAAGCTTGTTTATATTGTTTCTCGTTTTCTGTGCCACATCTTTATTTCCTTCCCTGACACTTGCACCCTTTGGAGACTAATCTTAGCTGCATACCTTCCTGTGGCCTCTCTGCTCTGTTTGCCATTCTGGGATATTGACATTTTGCTGATTTGGACTATGAACTCAGCTCTGGTCCTTCCAGGTACGGCAAAGTTGGGCTGCAAAGCTAATGCAAAGAGGACTGAGCTTGTCTGATCAATGCTAGGATGAGGCACCGGTGGGAGAACTATGTAAGTTGCACTGAGATTTTTACAGGGATAGCAATGTACAGCTAGCATCTTGGGAGGGTAGACAGTATTCGATGGCCTTTGCAGTTTGCCTGTTTTGCCCCAGTCTTTATATCTTTATGCTATACTGCATTCCTGCTTCCAATTTAAACAGTTCCCTCAGTTCAGATAAAATAAGTGCATGTGTTCCCCAAACCCTATACAAGAAGTCTGTATTAGTAAAGAAAAAAAAATCCATTCTTTCCCCTTTACTAATACAGACTTCTTGCATAGGGTTTGGGGAACACATGCACTTATTTTATCTGATGTATTCATGATTATATTAATTTCACTTCTCCGTTCAATCAGGGCAGGGAGGTTGGCGCATAGACTTTAACCATCCGTTTTTATTCATTCAAAGCCAAGGGAAGTAAAGCTTCTATCTAATGCAAGATTCCCCCCCACACACACCTTTTTGTTGTTGTTGTTCATTGTTTTGTACTGACCTTCTGTTCTTGAGATGCAAATTATATTGTTTCTCAGGAGGGAAGAAATTGCACGGGTGCTGACAAGTCTGGAAGCTGTGGCGTCTTAGATCAAAAGTGGCAATCCAATGTAAAATGCTGTATTTTAAAGGGAAGCATTTTCGCCTTTAGCTGCGGGCATACTTGCTGGAGTTGTTTACGAAATGTTGTGGATCTCTGGGTGGGGGAGCCTCCCAGTATCATCATGGGGGCGGGGGGTGTTGAGGAAGGGAAAGGGAGAAAGGGTGAATGGTGAATGGATATCTGAGGGTGTGTGACTGTGCATTTGTGAGAATAAGACATTGCATTAAGAAACCCATAGCCAGCCCTGGTTGGGCTCACGAAAAACTAAGCAGGATTAGGTATACATTTTTAAAATGGTTATTACTACAGTCCCAGTAATGTGTCAACGGCATTTATCAATGTACCTCCTAGGGTAGATGGGAATTGCATTCCCCCCAGATTTTTCTTTCTTAACTTTACAGTTTAGCCTACAATTCTTGGATGTTTTTATGCCCTATCATTCCAGAACTAGCCAGGTCTGACCCTCTGTGCCTTTTTTCAAGATCAGCCAAGTTCAGTTCAATGGCTGCAACCCATATGGGCTGCCTTTGAATGGCGCTTAACTCCTGACAACTACAGGAATACATCCAAGTTGTATTTCTTTGCTGTAATATGGACCTGGGTTGCGAGTGCCTTCTTCTGGGACATTGCCTTGACTTTCTCCCATCTGAGTTCTAATTAGGTCCATTACTAAGCAGTAATGTCCATATCAGTTAGGGCTGGCATGGTGCTGCCATTTGGACAATATTTTTACGACAGCCCTGTCAAAACTGCATTGACCTATTTAATTGTTTCTGCAGATGTGGGACACCTTGTGTATTTTTAAATCTGGCTCAATAGTGGTGATCAGCAGTGACGGGGATGGTGTACAATCTGCTGTCCTTCAAGAAGTTATTTATGCCACTGACTTCTTAATTTTCTTACCTTCCCTAACCTGACTAGAACAATCTAGAATCCTAAGTGGTGCAATTGCCTTTCATGTCGGCTCGTTTTGTCTTATTTTATTTATTTATTAAATTTGTATGCCGCCCACCTCCCCCAGCGGGTGACTCTGGGCGGCTCACAATTAGAGTAAAACCCACAAACAGTTAAAAAATAAATACCCACATTAATTAATTAAAAATCAGGCTATATAAAACAAACCCTATACATATGCCCTTCAACATCTGTTAGGCCTCCAGTGAATTTTTAAAATTTTCCAAGAAACCCTTCTTGGACTGGACTGTTCATTTTGTTGACTTCCTTGGCAGCTGTACCTGTGGTGTCCAACTTCAAGTATTTTTGCAAGGTTTAATGTTTAATTAACGACCTGTCAATGTGCAAATAGCATTTCCATTAATGGAATTCCTAGGATGGTTTGGAACAGTTTAATTGGCCTACGTAGCCCTAGCTTCGCCATATGGTTTCTTCCATAATGACTTCAGTAAGGAATGTAATTCTCCCCTTGCGCCTGAGAGCATACTCCAAGCTCAAAGTGACCTGTGTAAAGAATAAACCCATGAGACTCAAGCTGTTCTGTGAACCACTCATAAGGGGTCATTATTCTCTGAAACCTCTGTTGTTGGTAGTCACTAGGGACTGGGGTCCAACGGGTGTACAGCAGTTAGATTGTCCAGCAGAAAAATGCAACATTTGTTTTCTTCCCCTCACTCTTAAAAAGCATATAAGTGCCACATCCTGTGATGCTGGTTAGACTGAGAGATAGGCTGGACTTCACATTAAACTGGCAGATGTGTCAGATATGTCAACAACCGACAACCACCCAGCTTCAAGGCCATAATCTATTGTAGGGGAGATGGGTGGGAGAGAAATCCAATAAATAAATAAATAAATAATCTACAGGACAAAATATCTACTAACCATGAAAAGGGCAGGAGAAAGAATCACCGGAATTAAACTTCAATAGGTATCAAAAGGGAACTGTGTTTTCATATTAAGATAGGGCAATCAATTTTTTTTAGTGGTTTCCTTCGGTTGTGCAATAAAGATATTTATCTAGCTTGCTGTATCATGTGTTTGAGAGTCTTAAGCCAAGTCAAGCTTGGAGCCCAGTCAATCCAACGTCCAGGAATCTCTGCCTAGGTCTTGCTAGTGAATCTGGCAGCCTGATTGTCCTCTCAGTTATTAGACTTATAATGAATCTTATCCTTGGAACTGGGCAACTGTTGGGTGTCTGCAAGAGAGAGACCCGTTTATGCAATTCCCTCCTTAGGGATGACTGGTACCTCCATGAGCATCATTTCAGCACCAGGCAAAGGCCTTTGTATTTTCCCATTTTGTTTTATATTTTGAATAACCATCTTGCTGCTGCCTAGTTTATATGTTTTAATTTTGCCTTTTATTTGAATTTATGGTACATGTTTTTATTCAAATTATACTTTTAATGCATTTTATTATAAACCACCCAGAGAGCTTTGGTTATTGGGTGGTTTAACATTTTTAATAAACAAATAAATTGTGGGTATCCTGCCTGTCATACCAGCCACCTTTCCTTTTTTCTTCATTTTTTTTCAAAGGAAGAAATGGACAGGACTGGACTTCTGCTTTTCCCCCCCTTTTTATTTTATTGTTATAAATCTTGATACATTATCTTATTTCAATACAGTGATATTTATATGGTGTAATTACACATTCTTGACATTCTGTTATTTAGATAACTTAGAGTATTGGAAATAAAGAAAAGAAAAAAGTACAGTAGATATTCTATCAGTGTTAGCTACAATTTAGGATATCAGTGTTATGAGATTTAAAATTATTTGGCTTTTTCACTCAAAGTTAAGTATGACATTGGAAAGGAAAAAAAATAAAAAAGAACACACTGCAACTTGCATCAAGGTATTTGTTATATAATAAAGGTGTTGATCTTAAGCTAATGTGCGGGGGCGGGGGGTGCCTTCGAGTCAGTGTTGACTCCTGGTGACTGCCTGGACTAGTCCCTGAAGTTTTCTTGGCAATATTTCAGAACTGGTTCGCCATCGCCTGCTTCCTAGGGCTGAGAGAAAGTGACTGGCTCAAGGTCACCCAGCTGGCTTCATGCATAAGTGGGACTAGAACTCATGGTCTCCTGGTTTCTAGCCTTGTGTCTTAATCACTACACCAAACTGGCTCTCTAAACTAACATGCCGTTACCTTGAAATAGAGATCATAGGCACTGCTGGAATTCAAACCCCGGATTTCCTGTTTACAGGTAGTCTTTGGGTTATGACAGCAGTTGGGACCAGTATTGCCGTGGCTAAGCAATGTGGTCGTAAAGCACGACATCATGTGACCGCCTCACTTACCGAAGGCAATCCCGGCATTCTCAGTTCTTCTCAATCTTAAAACCTGTTTTATTCATCAATTCTGTTCGATTTTTTATTTTCATGTTTTTTTCAACATCTTTGTCTTCTGTTTGTTGATCTTAAAACCTGCTAATGCACCAAATTCTTTTAGTTTTCTCATTAATATTTCAATTCCCTATAAAGGATCTTCCAAAACCAACACTGAGTCGTCTGCAAAAGCCCTTAACTTACAAGTTTATTTTTTAATTTTTACTCCCACAATTCTCTCATCTTGTCTTAATTTCTCTATTCAGTATTTCAAGAACCAAAATAAACAAGAGAGGAGACAGTGGGCATCCCAGTCTTGTTCCTTTTTGTATCTCACAAGGCTTTGTTAAATCTCCATTAACAATTATTTGTACTTTCTGTGAAGTATCAATTGATCTTGCCCATTTTATAAAGTTCTCTCCAAAGTTCATATCTTCCAAAACTTTGAATAGGAAAGCCCAATTCAAATTGTCAAAGGCCTTTTCCGCATCGAATAAAATCAGTGCGGCTTGTTTTTCATTAGGTTGCTCCAAATTTTCCAAAATGTCTGGCACATTTCTAAGATTGTCCTTTAACTGACTTTTAGGTAAAAGCCCACATTGATCCTCCTGAATAAATTCTTGCAAAATTATTTTCAGTCTATCAACCAGAATCATTGTAAACAACTTACAGTCATTCAATAATGGGATCAGCCTATAGTTTCTTGTTAAAGTCCAGTCTGGTCCCTCTTTAGGTATCAGTGCTGTTTTGGCCTCATTCCAACTCTTGGTGTCTTTCCTTCCTGTAAGATCGAGTTGTAAAGGTTGCAAAAGTTCATCCTCAAAACTTTTATAATAAGAACCTGATAATCCATCTGGTCCAGGCACCTTTCC